TTTTTTTCTTTTTAGCATCTAATCTTTACAATCCAATAGGTCCCCACGACGCTCGAGTAAATCCACATTTAGCCTCTCGGCCTCCCCTACTATAAATAATTTTCACCATGATTCGTGTGTTCGTATTGATAGTCCTATGTATATGTTCTCGTATTTGTACTAATCTTATTATCAAATTTTTGTTGTTACGGGAAAATTTTTATTCACGGAACAAAACATTTTTCTAGTGATACTTAAATTTATTTTCTGATGCATTATTTTATTATACTTTCCTATTCTTTACATTTAATAAACATTTTAATAGCACGGTAAATTATTAAGAATATTAATTAAAAGAAATTCGTTCTATCATTTATTATCATTCCTGCGATAATATTTTGATATTAATATTTTAGAAGTAAAATCACTCAAACTTTAAATATTTTTTTTAATAGAATAAATTCTTTTTTTACACTTTAATAACATTTATGTTAAACACTACCTAAACTTTAAGCTGACTTAAGACACTAATTTTCAATTTGTAATTGATATGACAACATAAATTCTCTTGTATGTGTTTTTGATATCTTTCACGTATTTTTTTATAAAATCACCAGTTTTCTGATTAAGTAATTAGTATTATCTTTAACTATCACTATCCAGTTCATGTTACATGTTACTATGACCTATATATTACACCATTTTTATACTATTTTCACACTATATAAGTATTTATCATCATATATGGGTGTTTCAGAGCATCCGTACATCTCATTTAAAAACGAAGGAAGTGATTATTTTGAAAAATATTTCAGACAAAAGTTGTCGAGGCTCAACCCAATCAGCAGATAAATGTTTTTAAAAATGTTTTTAAAAATATTTAAAAAAAAATTTTTAAAAACGTTAAAAATAATGGGTTAAGTCATTTTTTTTATTAAAAAACGTTTATTTTGACGTTTGAAGAAACATTTTTTTAACGTTAAAAAACGTTTTTTAATGTTAAAATTATTTAAATAAAATTAAAAAAAATAGCAACGTAGAATCTTTTTTTAAATTTATTTTTTTTATCAACGTGCCTACAACCTTAGACAACTAATTTTATTAATAAATTCTAATTTTTAATTATAATATATATATTTTAATCTTTTTCACTTACCGACTGGGTTTTGAACCTGGGACCTCAGGGTTATGAATCTCATACTTTATCCATTATACACATATATACACATACGCCACTTATAATTGTTGATACATATAGTTCTTATTGTTCATATATGGTACACTTAACGAAATTATATTGTGTTATTAACTTATCTTCCGTGATTATTTTATTATTCCGACACATTTTTTTTATTAATTTAAGTTTCAGAAAATAATGACATTTTTTACATATTTATAATAAACTTAGATAAACGTTAAATAAATGTTAAAAAAACATTTAATAAACATTAAATAAATATGTCTTTAATCCATTATTTCAAATAAATAATGAATGTAAAATAAACATTTAACAAACGTTGAATAAACGTGAAATCAATGTTTCTTTCACTACATTTTAAATGAATAAAGAATGTAAAATAAACATTTTATAAATATTAAAAAAACATTAAAAAAATGTTTTTTCAAACATTTATTTCAAATGAATAATTAATATTAAATAAACATTTAATAAACGTTAAATAAATGTTTAAGAAATGTTTTTTCAAACCATTATTTCAAATAAATAATTAATGTTAAATAAATGTTTAATAAACATTAAAAAAACGTTTAAAAAATATTTTTTTAAATATTTATTTCAAATGAATAATTAATGTTAAATAAACATTTAATAAACGTTAAAAAAACGTTTAAAAAATGTTTTTTCGAACATTTATTTCAAATAAAATGTTACAATGTAAAATAAACATTTATTAAACGTTAAATTAATGAATTTTGAAAACAAATCGTGAAAAATGTAAAATTAATGAAAAACAAACATTTAAAAAGCATTTAAAAAACATTGCCTGCTGATTGGGAAGTAATGCATTATATGGGCATATGGGATTGACTTTGGGTGGCGACGTGAAGATCATGTCAAGGTCGATTTGAATTTTTTAAACGGGAATCCATATTGTTTATTATATACTTTTGTAGTTGATTTCAAGGCGTTTTCGAAACACTTTTACAAACCCTTTTTAGTTGAGATCTTCCTGAGTTATGAGACTTCAAAGTTTTAGTACTGCCCGGCGTTAGCATTATCCAAGATTTACCGCGTGGAAGTCGCACGATCGGGTTTACATCTCTTAGGGGTACTTGATTAAAGTCTCCTCAATCGCATATACCCATGTGTATAATGCATTACTAAATTATTTAATCCTCAACTTTTGTCTAAAACATTTTTCAAAATAACCATTTTCCTCGTTTTTATATGGGGTGTACGGTCTGAAACACCCGGTATACTAGATATTCAAAATAAAACGTTACAAATTTTTATCTCGAAAACAAAACATTTTAGAGAAAAACGTTTCGTACAAAAGTTTTGTAATTTCGAAAAGGACATGAAATGATATCATTGATTTGAGCTTGGGTGGCGTTGTCAAGGCCATATAGAATTTTTTGAATGAGATTCTCCATTTTTTATTGCATATTCTCGTAGCTTATCTTGGGAACTTTTCAAAACACTGTAATAAAATATTGTTTCTTTAAGTACTTTTCGAGTTAAAATTTGAAAATTATAGTATTATACCGTCGGCATTTATAGTATTATCTAAGGTGTCCGATCGATGGCTAAAACCTCTTAAACGTTGTTCAGAGTTATAATAACATTTGTCAAGATCCCCAGTGAGAAATGACAATAAAATCGATGTCGAATCGGTGTCAATTCGACGTCGATTTGATGATTTCGATGTAGAATCGATGTCGATTCCATTATCATTTTTCACTGGGTCAAGGCCATTGAAATTTGTTTCTTTAATTCTTGTTTTTATGTAAAAATGAAAATTAAAAAAACGTTCTCCAATGTCAAATGACCTTGATCTTGACAAATTTTATCCAAGTCCTGAACAACATTCAAGAGGTTTTATAGTTGTCGGCTGAACATCGTGGATAATCCTAATGTCGGCGGTATTAAAACTTTCAAGCAGTATAACTCAAAAAGTACTTACTGAGTAATTAAAATATTTTATTATAGTGTTTTGAAAAGCTTTGAGGTAAGCTACGAGAACATGTAATAAAAATGAGAAATCTCATTCTGTGTGACCTTGCTCTAACCTTGACAACGCCACCCAAGCTCAAACTAATGATATCATCATCTCATGTCCCCCTTGAAGTTACAAAATTTTTGTATGAAACGTTTTTCTCTAAAATGTTTTGTTTTCGAAATAAAAATTTGTAGCACTTTTAATCACCCGGTATATATTTTAGGCACTCTTCACTGGGTCGAAAAACTGAAATGGAAAGACGCCGACACCTGGAAAAATTCAGATAGGAAATCTCTCGTTGTTAAATCCATCATTGAGGGCTATTTCAAGGTTCAAGACAACTTCAGGATGTATTGGGTCAACAGAGCCGGACATATGGTACGCACATACAAGGCACTTTCTCTCTTCCCCCTTAGCTTTCATATTTATTATAAGCCGCAAGCGATAGCCCCGAGATTAATTTACTACAAGGAGAATCCTAAATCCATACGCAGCGTTCATCTTACATCCGCCAATTCGGATGTAAGCTATGATGTTACACCGTTGATTTGATTGCTTCCGTAACTTATGCAAAGAAGATTTGGTTACAGATGCTTTTGGTGTTATGAATGTGAACGTTATTATAGTTAAAGTAGTACAATTAAAATATTCACAATCCAAACCGAAATATTTTAACGAGTATTATTAATATTTTTCAAAATTATTTTAAATTATGTTTATTGATTAATAATTTGGCAATATTTATATATGTATATTATACTTAAATATAATATGTCTGAATGACATCTATTTAAAAACGTGTGCAGGTACCGAAGGACAACCCGGTAGCCCAGGAGAAAATACTACAGGATTTGACGAGCAATGCATATACAGCTCATCGCTATGAAGAAAAGAGAAATGAATAATTGATCTGATGTTCTCATTTTACACTTAAATGAATGTAATTAATATAATTCTATTCAGTCCTTTCAATAAAATTTTTTAATCATATAGTGATAATGCCTATGAGAACTGAACACAGGATGTACGCGTGTAATAAATTTATTCAATATAATACGTATTATGGACGTTTCGATTCTAATACGGATTCTTCTCAATATCGTAAAACATTTATTAGAATACAACTAGATAATATGGTCATACAATTAAAACAAAGCGAAATAAGAAAATGAATTCTGTGACGTGTAGTCCTATCTTGTGAAATGTAGACGTGAGGAAATTGATAAACTGATACATCGATAAAATTTTTAAGAAAGAGAAGAAGTTACTAATTATATGTTTATCCATTCATTCAGAAACGATTCCGATCACATTATCACAATCAAAAGTTAAATTAAGTATATATTTGTACAGTCTATATATATTTTATATCATATTTACATTTTTCAATATATTAGTCATTCATTCTTGCTTGATTTACATAGCCAATTAACTTATCACTGTACTTGTGGCTTGTTAAATTAAAAGGAGATTCAAGGCAGAAAGGAGTATGATGGATCAAAAAATCGATCTTGTGAGAAAAAGAAGTTAAAAGCAACTTTCGGTCTGACTTCTGCTCTCTTTTCTTTTTTTCTTAACAACACTCTGTGCGAGCCTTTGCATCGATTGTAAGGAAGGATCAACTAGGAGGAAAAGACCGTTCCGAGAAACCGTTTGGTCTCGATATTATTATCGCAACACTGTTTACATATTGGCGCAGTTACTGCCGGCGTGGGTGTTGAAACAGCATGTGTGTAAACAGCAATAAAACACGTAGTGCGGTCCCGGATAGGTAATCTCCTCCCCACGAGAGCGTAAACGGGAGTTCCCTGTAAAACCACCGATGGGCGGGGTTGAGCCAACTAGACCTCTAGATTCCCCCGGTGTCAAATTAAACAAATCTCCTTCGTTAGGGCAACTGCAGGATGCAACGGAGTCTCCGGCGAGTTCGCGCCCTGACCTCAACAGGGTGCTCCGCGTCCTCTCCCTCGATTACACCAGTGCGACATTACGTCTACGCGACTCCATTCTTCCCGCGAGAATAATAGACAGTGAAATTCAACGGTACTTTGCAGTTTTCATCGCGAGAAAGGAAAAGACGGTGTGACGAGAACGTGATGTAATTTCAATTTCACGGCTCATTGAGTGCGTCGCGCCAGAACCGTCCTGACCGACGACGGAACCGTTACCATTGTCGAAAAACGAAAGGATAACACAGATCGAAGCACAGAGTATGTAAAAGAGTCTCCTGACACTTTGACGACTTGCAAACGACGCGTTTTTCGTTCCTCGAGGAAATATTCTCGATGCAACAAAGCAGTTGTCCTCAGGTTCATGGTCTCTTCGCAGACGCGAAGGATCAAGCGTGCGATCTGCGTGCTCGGTGTCAAGAATACTGGTCCTACATCTTTCCGATTGACAAAATGTTCCCCGTAAAACGTGCGTACGGATTCGCTAGCCTGGCCCTCCCGGAGGTGCTGCCTGCCGACGTCGCCTGGCCCGCGGCCTTCAACCAAGCGTCCTGGCCAATCCTGGCGAGTCGACCGGCGCCGCATCATGAAAAGCCACCGTACTCCTATATCGCTCTGATTGCGATGGCGATCAACTCGTCGCCGGAGCGAAGGCTGACGCTTGCCGGGATCTACAAGTTCATCATGGACAGGTTCCCCTACTACAGGGAGAACCGGCAGGGCTGGCAGAACAGCATACGGCACAACCTCAGCCTGAATGACTGCTTCGTGAAGGTACCGCGAGACCGAACGAGTACGGACGACGGCGAGGGTCATACAGCCGGAAAGGGAAGTTACTGGACCTTGGACCCGTCCGCCAGCGAAATGTTCGAGCACGGCAATTACAGGCGCAGGAGAACGAGACGACAGAGGGTACTCGCTCATGATGGAAGACCGGGAGAATTATCGGTACAGAGAATTAAGCTTTAGCCTTGTGCAAGAGAGGATCCCGCGTAATATTACTTCTTGACTCTTTGAGACACGATGGTCTTCCTTCGTGTCCTATAGTCTCTCAACATTTGAAGCTAGTCTCCCGGAATGAATCGTGTCTATATATATATATATATAGAGAGAGATAGATATTCGGGCTAGGATGCAACTTTACGGAGCATTTCTGATAACACTACTGAAGCGCAGTTTTGATATGATTGCAGATATCAACCGAATTCTTATCCAATTCGACGAAACTTCAAGAAAAACAACAAGAAATTGCTGAAACAAATGAAAAAAACATCATGACGAAGGATACCGAAATCGAACGTATAGATTCTCCAGGACGTATCACTAAAATGACGATGTTCAGCATCGACAACATCCTACGGAAGTCCACGCGAGAGTCGCAAATATAGTTTTATATACTTACTATTGAAATAGCTTATATAATATGACATCAATGGAACATCTTGGCATCGAGCAACAATGTTAAATAAGAAGATTCGTTTTGGAACCGAAAATCAAATTTTCCGTTCTTATATTATATGTGCATTCACGAATTATAACTAGTTCTATTTATTGTGAAATGTTTTTTTTATTTTAGCATAAAGAATATGCAATATTATAATCGGAAATTGGGGACTAATATACGTGTTTTATATAATTTCTTCCACTCGCGCTAATCCAGCAAACTATTAATATAAACTACTACATATAATATAGATGTAAATTTATTAGAGTCCGACTGAAACCACATTTTGATCTCCGGTCGAAACCGAAAATTCGGTTGTCATTTAATTGTCAAAAACGAAACCGAAAACGAAACTTAGATAAGTCTTACTAAAAAAAAAGAGAGAAAGAAGCTAACGAAATCACATTTTTTTCGACCGGAATTAAAATCGACATTTTTTTATTAATTTTACAGAGACCGTATGATTTTCAGAAATCATATAACAAATTTATTTACTCTTTAAAAAACAAGATTTTATTAAAACATCTAACTATAATAATATAATAATATTGCATCCTCAACTTGAGGATTATGAGGATCACATCAAAGTTTGTATTCAAATTGTCTTATGCTCAATCAACATGAGTTAATAATTAAAATCGAACAGTTGTTTTTTGAACGCTTACCGGTACGTTACAACTTGTACAGTTTCGGTTTACCCAAGGAAATTTTCTCTTAATTTCAGTCGAAACCGAAATCAAATCGAAACCCTAATAAAATTTTCGACCGAAATTAACTGATCGAAACCGAAACCGAAATTTCGATCGGACTCTAAAATTTATGTATATGTTATGTAGCAGTTATATCTATATTTGTTGAGAAAGTAAAAAGCTCAACGAAGAGATTTTGCTAATACTTTTGAAGCTTTCACGAATATATTTTCTTCAAAAGTACCAAATTTACGGGTTTACAAGTTATCGCCGTATCAGTGCGCTCTTTACCCTGACAAAGTGAACGACAAGGTTCACGAAGTGTTGGCATTAGTAATTATGGATACAACACGATGATAACCCGCAAACCTTTTGACACTTCTGAAGAAGAAATTTTACATTTCGGATAACCATAAAGACAAAAAAAAAGAAGAATTGGTTAGTTAAAGTTTTCAAAAAATTCCCATAATTGACCAAAAGAACAGCACCGTTTTATTTTATATAAGTAATATTCGTGAAATAAAATTAAATTATAATAAAAAATCTATTAAGTATGTTTCATTGTTTAATTATACTTTACATCATTTCTTTACAAACAAAATCCTAGAAGCAGATTTTTAGATACACTCTAATTCATCAAGTATATATCTATAACTGAACGCGACTTTCTCCTCACCTTTTAACAATGTATTTTATTTAAAATAATTTATTGCTGACACTTCGACTTAATTGTTATCTAAAAATTAATCAGAATATTTTGAAAAAAGAGACGCGTTTTAATGTTTTCACACATATTTAAAATTTATAATAATTTAAATTATATTAGAATTAGATTGTTTCTCATTTTAAAATGAAATATTTTATACTTACAATGAAATAAAATTCAATAAATAGATGAAATAAGATACAACGAAATAAGAAATATTTTGTTAAAATTTATAAAGATAAATATCATATACTCGAATCGTCATATATTTTCGAGTATATATATATATATATATATATATATACATATATATATATTGATTAGAATTATCCTTTGTGGATGTGTTACCTCCTGTAGATATGTTACTCATCGAAAATATCTATGGCTATATAATTCTACGTGCTTTGTGCACATAGAGGCGCCAGTAGACGGATTCCACGTCTACCTACATTTATTCTCATTTCCGGACACTCAGGACCGGGCCGACCGGGGATTCCAGTACTCCAGTCACTCCAGAGTCTCCAGACTGCTCCAGACTCTGGACTTGAGCTTCTTCTTGGTGAATACCATACCAAACTATATAGGAAATCTGAAAGAATTCTAAATATTCGTATCGTTATATCAATTTAGACAGGAGAGATTAAGATACGTGTTTGGAGGATGACAGAAGAAGATTTCAGAAAAACTTAGTACTGAAGAAATAATGTATTAATAATTTATTAATAATTAATTTTTAACTTTCCTCTCTTGACTCACAAATAGTGTAGAATGCGAATTCAATGTGAGGGATATTTATATTTAAAAATAAGGAGGAACTGGAAGAGACAATTGTAAATAAACAATGAAAATAGAAAGCAGAGAAGTTATAAGAGAAAAAAGACGAATATTTATATCAAAAACACTAGTTTTTCAGTTGATAACACTGATATAGTTTAATGACTGATAAATATTATATCAGCATTAATAGTTCTGGCCGTGGTACAGATGATAACATAGATGCTTTCCATTTGGTGACCAGTTGACACAAGTGTCGTTCAATATGTTTGTTACTAATTGAATGCCGAGAAAAATAAAATGATATGCCATATGTGTGTCGATTTGTGTTACTAAATTTAAAACATTCTCAATTGTCCTCAATAAAGTTTACTTGTTTGTTGAAGTGCGTGTACTTGTGTTATATTCAACATGGCAACTGGCGATGATAGACGTGTCGCTCTAATAACAGGTATCACCGGGCAGGTAATTACTTAATTTTTTAAATTTAATTTTAATTAATCTTAATGTTGTCATAAAATATGTTGACTCGACAAAATGTATAATTGTCAAACTGAAACTGCAGTATTAAATTTTAATGAAGAAAATATCAATTTAATCTCTAATGATCATTTTTATCAATGTAGATTAACTACATTAATTTAATTAACTTTTTGTCTTTTTCTAATCCTTAAAACTAAATGAGGATAAAAAGTAAATTAAACTAAAATTAAAGTAAATCTACATTGGCAAAAATGTTATTATACATAGACATGTTATTTTAATTACCTTGTGTTCGCTATGAAACTACCTTCGTGACAACAAAGATTTATACTGTTTTCAATCTTTTGTTGTTTTGTTGTTATTTGTAGGATGGCTCTTACCTGGCAGAATTCTTACTAGAAAAAGGATATGATGTGCATGGCATTATTAGGCGGGCCAGTTCATTTAACACCGCACGTATTCAACATCTTTATGAGGATCCAAAATGTCATCGACAAGGCAAAATGAAGCTGCATTATGGTGACATGACAGACTCCAGTAGTTTAATCAAAGTCATTAGTGCGATACAACCGACAGAAATTTATAATCTCGCAGCACAAAGTCATGTTATGGTGTGTATTTTATTTGTATATGTATATGATTCTCTCATACTTTATACAGGGTGTCCCAGAATGACCATCAAATATTTCGTGTGCAGGTAGAGCGGACTAAACTGAGTCGAAAAGTCCTCTCCTATTTTGCGATTTTTGCAGTAATTAATAAGATGTTAGTTAAAAATAGCTGAATATTGGTTTTTAATAATTTTTTATTCAAGTACTATCAACTTTAAAAAACGGCAAGAGACAAAAATTGTTTACTTTCTTCTCATAGAATTCTAAGAATTTTTTCAGAATTTTTATTAACTTTTTAGTACTGTATTTTCTTATTGACAACTATTTTTACCAGCATGAGAAAATACGGTACTAAAAAATTCTAAAAAAATTCTCAGAATTCTATGAAAAGAAAATAAACAATTTTTGTCTCTTGCTGTTTTTCTGTAAAGTTGATAGTATTTGAGTAAAAAATTATTGAAAAAACCAATATTCGGCGATTTTTAATAATTAATGTCTTGTTAACACTATTGCGAAAATTGCAAAATGGTAAAGGACTTTTCGACTCAGTTTAGCTTTACCTGCGTACGAAATATTTGGCGGTCATTCTGAGACACCCTCTATATTAATCAATACCTATACGTATTTATATTAAATAAATTGAAAATTATATATGATGTGTTATTTTATGTTGCAATAGGTAAGTTTTGAAGTGAGCGAATATACTGCAGAAGTAGACGCAGTAGGAACAGTAAGAATATTGGACGCGATACGTACATGTGGCTTAGAAAAATCTGTAAAATTTTATCATGCATCAACGTCCGAACTTTACGGCAAAGTACTGGAAGTTCCACAAACTGAAAAGACACCATTTTATCCACGCTCTCCATATGGTAATTGAGGGAAAAAGATATACTTTTACATTAAATCATCTCTTTATATTAAACTTTTATATCTATATTAAATAATTTTATATATTTTCTCATTTTAGCTTGTGCAAAATTATATAGCTTCTGGATAGTTGTAAATTACAGAGAAGCATATAATATGTTTGCATGCAACGGTATATTATTCAATCACGAAAGTCCGCGAAGAGGAGAGAATTTTGTTACAAGAAAGGTGACGAGATCTATAGCGAAAATATATTTAGGTCTACAGGATGTACTCGAATTAGGAAATTTAGATGCAAAACGAGATTGGGGCCATGCGAAAGATTATGTAGAAGTAAGGAACATTTCATGATTATTACATTATTACATCATATTTATAACTTTTATAGATTAATTAAATAGTTCAAGTTTCTTGACATAAACTGCCATGTACAATATGCAGGCAATGTGGTTGATGCTCCAACAAGCACAACCGGATGATTATGTCATAGCGACAGGAGAAACACATAGCGTGAGAGAATTTGTAGAAGTGGCATTCCAATATGTAGGTCGTACAATTAAATGGCAAGGCCAAGGCGTGAATGAGATGGGGCAAGACGCACAAACCGGTCAAGTATTAGTTCGCATAAATCCGAAATTCTTCCGTCCAACCGAAGTGGTAAGATATCCAAAATGTAGAGAAATGAAAGATAAATTTTATAATATATTATAATTTAAATTTTATATTTATAATTGTTTTTTTCTCATTGTTCGACAGGATGTACTTCTGGGTGATGCATCAAAAGCAAGAAACAAATTCGGATGGAAACCAACAGTTACATTTAAGGTAATTTTTTGTACATCTAAAAAAATACAAGTAATTCTCAAAATAATATAATATCCTACATATTTCCAAATATCATACATTATAATTCATACATATTGCAGGAACTTGTAAAGGATATGATGGACTCTGACTTAGAATTAATGTCAAAAAATCCAAACGCTTAACATTATTGCATTGAAATCGTGATACAATCAGACGCATTTATCATTTTGTTTACGAAGCCGCAGTATTTAAAAGTTTATCTATACTGTAAATATATAAATATTTTTTAAATGTTTTTGAAATTCTTTAGAATAAATGAGATTTTTTATGTGTAATTTAGTAGCACAATAATGTTATACAGATAATCGAGAGTGATGCTCCGTTTTGTGAATTTGATTGAAGGATACAAGTTTAAAAGTGACTAATCTATATTAATATTTTTATACATTATTACCTTGTCAGAATTTTTAGAATTTTACGTTATATTAATACAACTCCCTTTCTTTCGCTTTTGCCTCAATGTCAAACAAAACATTCGTTACATTTAGGTGATGATTTCCTAAGAAAGTGACATATTCTGCAATTGTTATGTATTTTCTACTATTCTGAAATGAATTAATTTTTAAGTCAATGAAAAAAAAGAGTCGGAGTGTAAGCAACATATTTTACCATGGTACAACAGACCGGGTATATTATAAAGGTTTATATTATAATGTATAAGTTGATCATAAATATTTAATAGAACGATAATGAAGTGTTAAAACCACTGAACTTTTTTCTAACTAAAACTTCTAATCTGAGAATCAGAAATATATGTATATGTAAAATATTCAACAATTACACAAAAAATTTATTCAGCTTGATACTGTTCCCAAATCCTT